AGTAGTCACAGGCGATACGCCCGTGTTGTACAGGCGAGTCCAGCCCTACAAAGGAGCCCCATCATGTCTCCAGATAGTGGTGCCCCAACATTTGAGAAGGAGCCTGATGAATGACCATCACAGTGGACTAGGAGGGGGACACCAGGGGGCGGCAAAATTGGAGAGTGCACTTCGCCGGCAGTTCTACTGGCCGAGAATGCAGACTGATGTGAAAGCGTTCTGCCAACAGTGCGAGGTCTGTGCTCGCCGCAAAGATCCTCCTCACCCACCGAAGGCCCCATTGGGGTCACTGCAGGCGTCTGAGTTCCTTGACAGGCTTGACATCGATATCATATCTGGGCTCCCCACCAGTGAGCCGGAAGGTTACAGGTATATTCTGACGTGCATCGATGCATTCACTCGATTTGTATGGGCTTTCCCACTTAAAACACAGGAAGCATCCGAGATAGTCCAGACACTGATGGACCGTATCGTAGGTCAGTTTGGTGTGCCTAAATCAATTCACTCCGATCAGGGCAGAAACCTGGTTGGAAACGTAGCAAAGATGTTCTACAACAATCTTGGAATCAAACAGAGCACGACGACAGCATATCATCCTCAAGGGAACGCCTACTGTGAGCGTAGCCACCGTTTCCTCATCGACACACTGGCTAAACTCGCCGCCGCAGAGCACCGTCATTGGCCCCGTTACCTGAGCGGCGCCGTGCTGGCTTTTAACGCCAACACTAGTGCGGCCACAGGCCTGTCGCCATATGAGTGCGTGTTTGGGCGTCCTGCGCCACTACCGGCTTCACTGAAGTATAGCTCTGTCTCCAACGGTCAAAGCGAGCTGGTGGACATGAAGGTGCCCCGTGACACCTTCCAGTACCTGGCTGGTTTACAGCGCACCCTCAAACGCACCGATCAGCAGATACACTCTGCTAGTACAGCGGCTCATAACAAGAGCAAAATCAGGCATGATGCGCGCATAGTGGAACATAACTATGAGCCGGGCAGCCGCGTCTGGCTCAGACAAAATGCGGTACAGGGTGGAGACGTGAGAAAGTTGTCCCCTCGCTGGAAGGGACCCTACCGCGTGATAGCGAAACGTCGAAACTGGACATATCTCATAGCCTGTGAAGGAGAGACGACGGAAATGACGGTCCACCACAACCGCTTAAAACCGTATCACCCAAGCACGGGAAACTCACCCACTGGGGCCCCTGTTTACCCCACTCGCATTTGGCGACGCAGTCAACGCTCATCGCCTCATCAGTTCGGCCCAGTCCCACAGAACCGAGACCGAGCATTAGCACCCAGGAGGCATGATCCCCAGTCAGCTGACAAACACGTAAGGCCACATGGCGGCAAAAAGCCGCGGCAAGACAAGTCCTCTGTGCAGCAGGACCTGGTCACTCAGGCGACTCCAAATGTGCCAAAGTCGATAATCACGAAAGCGGGTCGAACTGTCAGACACCCCATTAGGTACCACTAGTCATGAAGAGCTCATATGAGATGATGCGGCTTGAAGTGGATAAGGTATTGCTATGTGAAACGTAATATCCATCCTGTTTTAAGTGGTGATGTATGACAGAAGTGGCGTGTACATTTTGTGTTCATAGGTAATGCCTATGGTTTGAAGTGTTCATTGCTCATGTATGAATGTACATATGAGTAGAGTGTTAAAGTGTACCGTCTTACTTGGTGCATCAATGTCCGCGGGCCATGCAGAGGTTGATCGGTTTCCGGGGGCGGAAACTTTGTCTGTGGGGGATATTGTTGTAGATAATCTGTCTAATGAAGGACTTTAATGAGGATTAGCCCGCGGATAAACACGAGCACCTGTAAAAACGAACAAAGAGCTGCTGTGACAGCTAGTGAAAAACGATGATTTTGAAATAGAAAGTGGAACATGTGTGAATGATAATTTCTAACAAATTTACCGTCAGTACGAAGCAATATCGAACCCATAACACTAACTATAGCAATGAGGTCTCGGCTAAATGCGGCTTATGTATGCAGAAGGGTAGCCGGAACGAATAAGATGACCAATAGCCATAGTTTCTTTATATAACATTTTCCTGGTCAATGACCAGAGACCAGCGTAGAAAAAAATCGCCAGCTGTGATTATTTTGATCGCTCACTAGTTTCGCTAGCCGCGCAAAAAACTGCTGATTTGAAGAAAGATATTAGCCAGCCTAAATGAGTTTCGCGAAAGACGCTATTTTTTTTCACGTGGTATACCATTGGTGAAACTTTTGGGCAACTGTGAGGTCTAGAAATAACCACAGTCTGCGATTTTCGGTTGATTTTTAGAACAATATTCTATACATTTTATGTGAGTGATAAAGCTATTCCACAAATAGATCCCATTCAACCATATTCAGTCGGAATGTCACCTAGCACCCGCCTTGTCCTGTGGGCCTCATTTTATCCTATTTGTGGTGCCCTTACCAACAGATTATCATCAAACCCATACGGAGCTCACAATGAACATCGTGGTTCCCGGCCCGAACGAGTAATTTATCGGCGAAAAACGCTGTCACCCCTCGCCGCTTCGTCATGCCGCTCTCGACGATCTATCAGAGCGCGCCTACAGGCAGTGGCTCCATCCGAATTAATTCGATTGTTTTCAATCTGATGATCCCCGAGTTGCCCCGGATCGACCATCAGCGCTTTAACTATATGGAAATTGTTTTACAGCGGCGGCGGCGGCGCGCCCGCCCGGCCGCCGGTCCCGCGGGAGCCGGGCGCGCGCCATATCCAATTAGGCTGTAAGCAACGGATCGGCGGCCACCTGCGCCCGCGAGAAATGAGCCACATTTGCCGCATTTCAATTGGGGCGGCGGCAGCGTCGGTGCCGTCGCGTCGGTGGGCGGCGACGGCGGCGGCTTTGCTGGGCGGAGCCGGGCGCCGTCCTGTTAATCACGCTCAACAAAGCCGACACGGCTGGCGAGGCCCACAACAGAGCGCGGACCCGGCGTGGAGCGCCTCCCGACGGCGCCGGGGCGATGCGAGACCGATGGTGACCGAGCGAGACCGACAGACGTCCTGTCCGGCACCGCGCGGTTAAAAGGCACAGCGAACCGAATTGAATAAGGTATAGTGCGAGGTCCCAAGATACTGAAAAAAAAACTATAAAAATATACGTGAAACAGCTTATTTTTTTGTTAGATTCACAACATCGTATGTATTCACGGCCGATAACGACCAGTCTCTTTGTGAGTTGACATGATGCGTCAAGAGCGAATGCTGTTACAGGTACAAATGCACAATGCCAGTGCAGTACAGACACCCACGGCACTTGCAATATGTATACAATGTTTCAAAGTAAATCATTCACTTTGGAGCTCTGGCTTTGAATGTTTCGCTTTTTGAAAAAGTTCCATGGGTGCTCTCTGTTCCCCGCAGGAAGCCACTTTGCCCGTTTCTCATCCTCTCATTTCGATGACAATAGCCGAAAGCTGACGCCCCATCCTGAAATCCGAATCCTTCCGGGCCATCGCTCGCTCCGGGAATCCTGTTCCCGCGTCCCGGTCGGCGACCCATCTGGTCAGCCAACTCCTCCAGGCCTAATCGAATCGTGTCCAGTGTAAACTGATTTCTCGGGTAATTTTCCCCGGATTACAGGGCTATTTTTCTGGTGGATTAGTCCGGCTGGGGCTGGCCGTTGACGCGCTGACCGGCTCTCGAGGGACCGGGGAGCTCGGCGGAGGGCCGACGGCCAGCGACGGCCCCGACGGCCCGGCGCGGCCCCGGGATCCCCGAGGCCCGAGCCGAAGGCAGACGGTCGCGCCGGACAGACGCAGCCGGCATCCGCTATACGGCTTTGGATAATGGATCATTTTCAGATGGCGAGAGTACCGAAGTATCTAAGCAAAATAATCTGAAACAGCCACTCCTACTGGCTAAATCGTTATGAAATGCTATATGTATGGTGATGTTTCCCTCAAAATAGCTGTTTGAGCTATGTCTTACAGACATGAAACCGGGAAAGCCAATGATTTACTAGAAATATCAGCTTTAACTCAAGACTGAATGCGTATGGAGATCGGAGATGCATGTTGAAGCTGATATTATGTAAAAGGTACCAGACATGTGCAAAGACCTGAGAAAATGGTCCCGAGATTCGATCATATGAATATTGATCTATATCTATTGGATTCTGTTTATCAAAATGACTCATTTAAAGGGACTGTCCCACCTTTGCATTAGTTCTGAGCAGGGCTGCAGAGTCGGAGTCGGAGTCGGAGTCGGAGTCGGTCGGAGTCGACAGTTGTGACCGGAGTCGGAGTCGGAGTCGGAGTTGATTTTAGAAACCCGAGCCGGAGTCGGAGTCGGAGTCACCGAAAATCTGTCGACTCCGCAGACCTAGCAGGGCTGCGGCCAAATTTCCCCCACATTGACATGAAGTAAATCCTTCATTACGTCACAGATCCGATCTAAATGACGTCACGATGAAATATAAAAGTCGCAATATCTCAAAAAGTATACAATGAAAACGCGTAAAAACTTGCAGAATTCGTCACAATATCATGAGTAACATTTCCGAACCCTAAATGGTACTTTTTTGAAGGTGGGATAGTCCCTTTAAACTTTAAAGGGATCCAGAATAATTAAGGATCTCAACATCACTTTGGCATGATTTTTGCAGTCACTGAAGTGAAATGAATGATCGAACGGGGCCTGGTGACCTAATTAAGTGACCCGAAAATAAGTCCATGTGCCAAAAAATGCATGTAGCGGCGACTCTCCGTTCTGTCTCCCTTCCTACAACACCTCGGTTCCGCTTCTTTCCGTTTCTCCTCGTTCACAACCGGAATTCTCACCTCATTTTATGGATCCAGCTCCCTCTCTCTGTCTCCGTCTCTGGTTCGACATCAACAGATTACAGAGCTGCGGAGGCCCAATGTCAGTGGTCATACAAATCTGGGCCACTGATATTGCGCGGGGGCCGGGGCCCTCGTCTCTGACCGACGGTTCGTCGGTCTTGGCTTCGCCGCACAAAACAGCGATGAACGATCGTACAGTCCGCAGTTGTATTATCGGTAAATAGTGATCCGCATGCAACGGTATTTACATATTCTACAGGAAACATCAATTGTCTAACGCAGCATGCATGTTCATTGTCCATATCAACTGATATGATCCTCCACTTATCTGTGCGGCGCTGAAACAGGTCAATTGCGAGATAAATCTGGAGACGTCCTCAAACAAAATCCTTTCAACCATCTACATAATCAGATGAACATCAATTCGACAGGAAAGTTGCATGCATAATAAGATGCAACAATAATGGTCATCTATGCAGCATAAAATTTTCCTACACACTCCCAAAGTGTAAAAGGGCCTGAAATATCTTAAAGGAAAGTGTCGGTGAGGATGCAGACTGCAGAGTAAGATATGATTACAGGTAACAAAGTGTGAGCAAGGGAACACTTAACATCAGCATTAAAACACGTCGTTATTGCACAATATAAATAGCTTACTGCCGTTGTTTCAGTTTATCTTCCTAGATGTAATTATCAAGATTGTGCTCACATAATCGCCAGCAGCTTATGAGTGAGAGAATGCTTCTGAACACATAATTCATACAGGTAACACTCAACACGCTATGGGCGAGTTCCCCCGCGAATAAATCATGATGAACGTGTATCATTTGGTAATGATTCACGATAACAATAATACAGAGATGCCGTTTTACGCACTTCCAAGCACGTGGTTGAGATAAGCTATGTAACACACCGCAAGTTTCAGAATCTCGATTTTTGAGAGCTTCTTGTCCGGAGGCAGCGTCGGGAGAAGCTTGCGAAGCTCGCAGAAGGCTGTGTTGAATGCCTCGACTCGGACACGCTCGCGAGTGGCGTGCGCGAGCCGGTACTTCTGAGTGGCGCGGCGGCGGCGGCGGCGCTCCTCGCGGGATAGCACAGCACCTCTGCGGGGAAAAGACACATGTGAGGTACTCCACAGTCCACACTGCTAGGACGGCACCTCTGCGGGGAAGAGACACACGTGAGGTAGGTACTCCACACTGCTAGGACGGCACCTCTGCGGGGAAGAGACACATGTGAGGTACTCAACACTGCTAGGACGGCACCTCTGCGGGGAAGAGACACATGTGAGGTACTCCACACTGCTAGGACGGCACCTCTGCGGGAAAGAGACAATTATGAAATTCAACAAGATCCCTGTTGTAAAGTGGAACAATTCAAGTGAGAGAAGGAACAACTGTTCGCGTGAATCGGTGGCTGGCTTCACCTATGTCGCATCGAACGCGAACGGTTAGTCAGTGAAAGTAACGCCGACTGGGCGCTCAAAACGACCAAAAGGGGTCAAATATCGGCTCGTTGGTCTAGGGGTATGATTCTCGCTTCGGGTGCGAGAGGTCCCGGGTTCAAATCCCGGACGAGCCCTTGTTTTAAATATTTGAGCGTGAGCCCGTACAAGACTGGGCGTTTGTAAAATTAACTCACTGTACAATAACCACAATGTTCAATAATGTACAATAACTCCCTGTTCACGCTGCGTATAAATGCAACGGTTCGTCGGAAGGTCATTTCATACTCAAATACACATATATAAAAAATTAAACAAAAGTCATTTCATACACTAAAATTAAAAAAAAAATTGAATATAATAGGCAAAAAAACCCAAAAGTTTTTCGATTCTCGAAAAAAGGAATATATACGATAGCCCCTACTAACTTCTATTCACATACCAAATTTTTGATCGGACCTTTTTTGGCCAAGTTATAGCAAAAAAAAATTTAAAGTTGATGACGTCAAATTTTCAAACTCAAATTTTAGCAATTCAAGACAAAGTAGCGCAAAACAAAGACTACCATTAGACTTTCCGTGACGAGCTGCATAGAATCAATGCCATTTTATGCAAAAATATCAACTTTGAAATTTGACCTTTTTTAACCCGACATTGACCTGACCTCAATCACGAAGTGACCTAAGCCGTTCCTGATTGGCTTAGCTATAACGAACACCATTAAGTTGGAAATGAAAAATTGGCCTGCTTAAAAAAGGGCATTGCTTAAAGAGGAGGGCGCGGACAGGTGAGGAAGGCGATGTACATACGGTCAGGAGGCCGCCTACAGCTCAGGAGGGCCGTCTACGGTGAAAAGGGCACCGACTTGTCAGGAGGGCGCTAAACGCAGAGGGCGCCGGTCTGGAGGCCGGCGTTGTATGGTTGGGACTTGGGAGGCTGCTATACATACAGTGAGGAGGCCTGCGACAGGTCAGGAGGGCGCTGTACGGTGAGGAGGGCGCTATAATACGATAAGGAGGGCGCAGACAGATCAGCAGGATGCTGTGTGGTAAGGACCATGAAGGTGCCGACTGGTCAGCCCAGAGGGCGCCGAATGTGAAAAGGGCGCCGATAGGCCATAAAAGCGCTGAATGGCGAGAAGGGCGCCGACAGATCAGAAGGGCGCTGAAAAGACAGAAGGGCGCTGAAGATGAGGAGGGCGCTAGATGGTCAGGAGATTGGGGGTGGATATCCGGCAGTTCAGGATTGTGGGTGCATCTTCACCCACAAAGGGATATAAAATTGTAAACCTGGGTGCCAGTGCCGCATGGTGTACCGCAATGGCTTACCGTCGAGGGCGCCTAGAGTGTTGGACATTAGAGAGGCGCCTTCGTCACCACGAAATGATCGTGGAAGGCGCCATCCTTCCACGATCATTTCGTCATTGCGTTCAGCTCGTCGGCGCCATGAGGGCGCCGGTTAGATTTGGGAGGGGCTAAAGCCCAGTGTGCCCCTCCCCCCTCCTTGGCTGCGCCCCTGTATTCGATCAACCTTCACTACCTTGAGGTCTGTTTTGCTGTTGGGCAGCTGTGAGGTCATGTGACGTCATCAAAGGTCACCAAAGGTTTTTTGCCAATAACTCCGTACAGGAATAAGATACAACCAAGCAGACGGTCTCATTGTGTTCAGCTCGTCAAGGCGCATCGAATGATATGCCTACATGATGACCTCGAGGTCACGTGACCTGAGGTCAACCTTTGACTTTGACCTTTCGAGGTCACCATGTATATGGTTCGATGCGGATTGACAAGAGGATCACGATGATGCCCTTAGAGTGTTCCTATCTTGACTAGTTCGAAAGTTATTCGAGAAAAACTCTCTCCATATCTAGCGCCGCCATTTTGACTTTTTCGACCCCTGTGACGTCATCTTTGACCTGACCTGAAAATGACCTTAGTAAAAATTGTAGACCTTGTCCGTGCGTATCCCATGCCGTTTACCGCTTGTCGTTATCTTGCTTCGTTCTCGAGATTTCAGGGGGGTTCATCCGCCCCCCGTCGGTTCTAAGAATTGGCGCAGACCCCCGTCGGTGCGCGGGTTAATATGACCTCATTAAAAGTCTTTGACACGCGTAAGGAGAATATGACCTTTCTCATTTTTTTGAGGAAAAATTACCTATTCGACCGTCACATTATTTTTATTGTACCTATAGCTTTTAGAAAATATAAAAGTAGCACATTTTTTAGTGTGATATTTTTTTTGCGAGAGGAAAACAGTACTTGTAGTACTTGCCAAGGGCGGATCTAGGCGAAAGTTTTTTTTTTCGGGGGGGGGGGGGGGCGGTCACCGGTCGGCCGACATGCCGGGGCCCCTGATGAATGAATCCTGGCGGCGCGCGTATGTCAAGCTCAATAGCGGTAACGATACAACTTTATATAAGTCGTTATAAGTCACTTTTTGTTACTTGAAGTCATATCAATCCTTACCAACACTTTGCTTGAAAATATTTCAAACTCTTTTACACTCTGGAGTGTGTTGGAAAATCGTATGTTGCATCGATGACCAAGGTTGTTGCATCTTATTACGCATGCAACTTTGCAGTCGAATTGTTTCTCTGATTATTTTTAAGACACTATTTCCAGGTACACCGAGCACAATTTGAAATCAAATATTTTTTGTGTGTGATAAAAATGGTTAAGCTCGAGCTACACTGGCATGCATTATGTTTTGTGTTTTTTTTTTCGGTTTCTGCGGGATTTCGGTTCGCGTCGTAAAGTTCGTCCCATAGCAAATGTATGGACGAGCTACACTGCTAGTTTGGCGTCCCGTGGAAGGAAATCCCGCAAAAGTCGACAAATCGGAACCGAAAAAAGTTCAGAGCTCCGGAGGGCGGAGACTAAACTTTTTCCGTTTCTGCGAGATCTGGTATTGGTGATGAATGGTTAGAAGAGATTGTGGTTAATGACATGTTCACGATGGTACACATTTTATATTAAATTCATGAAAATAACGTAAATAATGAATTATGCAGAGAAAATGTCATTCTTAACTCATATTCTACTTCAATCAAATATGATGATCTCTCAAATATGAAACTCAAATTAAGGTGAAATAATAAGCTAAGAAAACAAACAAAGAGCAAAATTAGTTTTGAGGTGCAGTCCGAAACTGGTGACCACGACCAGTTCCGGTCTTGGGCCAAAATTTTCAGTGCGCAAAGTACGTTCGTAGAACCGTTGGGTGCAGTGCGGCTATTGCGCCGTAAAACTGAACTTGTGAGTACCTACCTATTGAGAAGCACCAAAAATAGAAAAGCACCGATCTTGTGATAAGGACTTAAGCGGAAGACCGAAGATGATATGAAGGGATTCGAAGGACAAGGCTGTTTTTTAGTTACGGGAAAGCGAAGCCTAAGCTCCAAACGTATACATACATAGCTAGTGAGTAGTTCGGAGGATCGTCGTTCACCATTTACTACAAACTGGTGCTATAGGAACTAGCACTTACGATTTCTTCCTGTCCAGTTGATAGATGCCCGGCGGTGAGGATGCATCGTGTGACGTAATACCAGACGTGGTGACGTCACAGCTGTCTTCCAGATCCAAGTCAAGGTTCGTTGCCCACATATTCCAGTAGCGAATCCTGCAGGCAAGGAATCAAACAGGCATAACACCTGTGGGAAATCAAGAGGGGTGGAGGAGGGGCGCATTCCATCCATTTCTTTTTGTACCCAAAAAGGCGTGCAATGACCTAAAAATCTCGCACGGGGACCGGGTGAAATGAGCCATTAGGTAGGTATTCGTACGTTTACTTTGAAAACTTATGAAAGTTGGTTTTAAAAACTGAAAATTGATTTAAATATTAGCTGTTATTTTTTACTAAATAAATTTAACAAAAGTGAACATTTGACTAAGACGCATCCAGAAAAGGGACAAATTTAGGGGAGAACCGGGACTGGCAATTCAATGAGATTTAAACCGGTAAAATTGAAATTGGAATACCGTAAACATGAAAATCATCTAAATAATTTAAAGACAACATCAAAGTAAATTACCTCGATTCCACTCAACATGGCACCTGACTTGGTGATTTGGACATGCTAGGCAGGTGCTACATAGTATTCGTTTTCATGACGGCCATCTGGTACACATTTGGTGCACATCTGGTGCAGATTAGGTGCAGATTTGGTCAAATCAGGTTCAGTGTGTCACTTAGTAGCTATCAGCTAGGGTTGCGCTAATTGCTTATATGCCTGCCTTGTCATATTATCAGAGAGCATCATCGATTAAAACACTGAAATAAATTCATAAAATAAAGATATTTCCTGTAAAAGAGTAGGTGCAGATTTGGTCAAATTAGGTGCAAACCCCCGGATAGCCCGTCGTGAAAATGGCTAGTTTAGCGGTAGATTGGCCACTATAGGACACGGATTAGGCGCGTTATCTCACTACCCAAAATCGTCATTTTCATATCAAATGTCTCTCCTAAAAAAGACATAAGAATATCAAACACACTCAGGCTTATTAAACAGAGCCTTCACAGTTAACAGGCAGCAGATGCCAGATAGTGAAGGGTCTGAATAATTGACGTTGCGAGATGAGCGACAAATTAGATTAGATTATAAAACAAAATATTTTTAACACTTTATTGACGCCGCGGCAACTTGGTAACTGGAATAGGAAAACTTTTGAAAGTGACGTGCACCAACTAATTTTGTTCGAAAATGTGCAAACAAATATTATTTCTTTGCTTGGATAGCCAAATATTGCACACCACCTCCCATTTCTCTTTCGTTCATCTATTTCCCCACGCTTCCCCAAGCATTTCTATTTGTATTTGAATGTATGTAACAGCTATGGGCATCACAATTGGAAGGAGTGAGTCGGTCCAATCTTTCACTTCCCTTCGTCGAACACTGATAACGCCTCTGATGTTCAAGAACACATAAGAGTGGCATCGAATGGCAAATAGCTCAACGATGGAATCTGATAAGAATTCGATGGTCGTAAATTTACAAAAAAAGCAGCAACTTAGAATATAACAAGCGCACTGATAAAATAGAGTCGTCACTTCCAATGCAAGGGCCAAATTTAGTCCGCAGTGGGCCATACTACCACGTACCGGTTTCGCCGTCCTGTCAGAAGCGATCCACTCGTGCGGCCCGGTTTGACCCCGGCCGTCGCCTCGGGCTCACCCACCCATCACCTCTGCCGGTCGACTGGTGTGCTCTGCAGGGAGCAGTCGCCTCGGGGCAGATGACACGGCCCCGCCCACCGACCAGGTCAGCCAATCAGAGGCGAGATGAGCAGCCCCCCGCTGGGACCGCGAGACGGAACAAGATGGAGCCCGCGGCGCCAAAGATCGATATATATAACAGGATCGGCAAAACTGGCAATAGAGTAAAAGCTTCCAGTGAGCGTCGATCGTCAGTGGGTACATACATATAGCTATGCGTGAAATATTTGTGTTTGTGCGTACCCGTTCGTAGGCTCTGCACCTATTTGTGAGTTTGTCTATGAGAGAAACATAGTCTAGAGAGAGGAGAAGGAAGAGAGAAGAGAAGAGAGAGAGAGAGAGAGAGAGAGAGAGAGAGAGAGAGAGAGAGAGAGAGAGAGAGAGAGAGAGAGAGAGAGAGAGAGAGAGAGAGAGAGAGAGAGAGAGAGAGAGAGAGAGAGAGAGAGAGAGAGAGAGAGAGAGAGAGAGAGAGAGAGAGAGAGATTATTTTGTTGGTAGGTTTCCATAGTGGACAATGGTGTCGTTCTGTCAATGGTTTTCATAAGTTTTGGGTCCTTCGCGCTGCGAATTTTCTTCTTTTGAGGACGCGAGTCGCGACAATCTTACGATATCGATTACGATATGCTCTATAGGTCACCCTATGATTTCCTTTGCTCTGATACGAGGGTCTATCCCATGGAGGGCTTTGGAGGCATTGCAGTTGCCGTTTATAGGTATGATCTTTGTACTTTGCACGCTGCTCAACGTCTGTTTATCTATAACGTGTAAGCGGTGAATTATTTAACACGCTTAGCTTATTTATTTCATCTTTATCGCCCTTGAGCAAACAGTGGGTGGTTATGGTGTTTTATCTTACATTATTTACACTTAAGTAAGTTACAGCATTCATTTTGCCTACCGAACGTTAAGGGCTTTATAATTTGTCAGCCTTGCATAGTTGACTAGTGACTACCTAACTATACATGCAGAATAGATTTCCTCTTATTCCTCACGGGCAATCAGTTGCCTGGAATGGTAGACTGTGCCGCATGGCACTTGTCATAAGTCAAAGTGACAGCCGCTTCGAGGTCCTGTTCACCATAGACACGCTTAATTGCGCGATTAAAGGCACAGCCCAGTGTTCCAGTCACCTGATGGCTGATAGTTTGCTTGTTTGGACTGGAACATGATTCTGCAGTCAATGATTCTGTTCAATGTGATTCTGTTCAATGTGTGACGTGCGACCAAGCGGTGTCGAGCCAGCCAGTGCCGCGGCTGGGCTGCTGCAGGATGACAGACGACAGTAACGTAGCCGAGGTGCAGTTCACCGAAACACTTGGTCCGGGCCATGGTGAGGGCCAGGTGCGGACAAAGAAGGCCGCGGGAAATGTGAGGGACGTATCGCGCTTAGTGCTGACAGCTGATGACGCTAATTTATCATGCCTGAAAGTTGAAACTAAGTTTAAATCAAATCAAATTATTAACCCTATTCCTGGCGGGGGGGGCCTCAGGAGCCCCCCCCCTTGAGGTTTTTTGGTTATTTCTCCCAAACGCGTTGAGCTAGGAAGCTCAAATTTTCTGACTTTTCCTAAAAGCCTTCTACGCAACATGTCTGAAAATTTTGAGTTGATCTGACCTCAGGTCAGGTCACCAGAGGCGGTTTGGTGACCCTACCTCAGAAAAGTTTGCAATCACGCCAGAGCTAGAGTTTTTGACCGATCAATTTCTTCTCTTCAGGGTTTAGTTAGGGTACCAGTATGTGCAATTTGTATATCTCGGAATTTTGATATCGGTGACCTAAGGTCAGGTCAATTTCGCGACCTCCCCATTATAAGTCAATGGGGGAAAAATCAACTCCCTGTTTTTACCACTAAAACGGGTCGGAATGGCCCCATATACCATACATGACTTCATATACGATCAACCTTCACTACCTTGAGGTCTGTTTTGCTGTTGGGCAGCTGTGAGGTCATGTGACGTCATCAAAGGTCACCAAAGGTTTTTGGCCAATAACTCCGTACAGGAACAAGATACAGACGCGTGGATGGTCTCATTGTGTTCAGCTCGTCAAGACGCATCGAATGATATACATGATGACCTCGAGGTCACGTGACCTGAGGTCAACCTTTGACCTTGACCTTTCGAGGTCAACATATATATCATTCGATGCGGATTGACGAGAGGATCACGATGATGCCCTTAGTTTGTTCCTATCTTGACTAATTCGAAAGTTATTCGAGAAAAACTCTCTCCATATCTAGCGCCGCCATTTTGACTTTTTCGACCCCTGTGACGTCATCTTTGACCTGACCTGAAAATGACCTTAGTAAAAATTGTAGATCTTGGCCGTGCGTATCCGATGCCGTTTACCGCTTGTCGCTATCTTGCTTCGTTCTCGAGATCTCAGGGGGGGGGGGGCCGAATCGGCCCCCCCCCGCCAGTTTCTTGTCCCGGCGGAGCCCGCCAGGAATAGGGTTAAGGTGGAAAGGCGACTGCTGAGGGAAGACAGCTGCATCAGAATGAATTATTTTTTATGGATGGTGACTTCTATAGAAGTGCCAGCCATAGACACATCATATAGACAGCCATATCAGTGCAAACAAACAATGCTTGGATGAGCTCGTTTATTTTCACAAGCACATGTTCCATGTCGAGGTTGAATTGTTAGTGCGTGTGATAGCAGACAATGTGATGAAGTGAGTGAGGACAGCTGCTCCAAATATTAGACGAATCATTTGCGGCAGATTTACGAACCTCGCCTTCAGATTTTGTCACCTGTTTAGTAAAACATATTACCCGCCACAAATAAGTAGCGTCCTACCCCGATGTCCTGATATAAAGGCCACATGCCCCATACCGTATCAAAACTAAATATAAATGAGACAAGCATAAAGTAGAGATTCAACAAAGTATCAAGGCCGAAGGGGAGCAATTGCTGCTCTTTCTGTAATCTGCGCTTTGATGTAATGCTGGCAAACGGAATGGGTATTGCCAAAATGACTCACAAATATTTTGAACATATGCACTCGCCCAGCCTTATGCATGCAGCATGCAGGTAATATTTTTTCGTCTTGACGTCAAGTAAGCCTTCTCATATGCATTCGTTGAAACTTTGAAACGACGCAAAAAATATTAACGGACTATAAATCACTACAAAAGCGTTGGGTGGCGTATGATTAGGCGAATGATGATGAGATAGCTTAGAACTAGAGAACAAAGCATGAGTTGAAGCAGAATTAGGAGAGCACCCGAAATCTGACAGCATCTGACCCAACGTAAAGCGTGCCCCGGCCTATACGAGAGGGATTGCCGGCTCGCCCGAGAGGACTTCATCCCAGCGGTCAGAGCCGCACGGGGGTGACGTCAAGGCGAGCCTCGACTGTGGCGGATGCACCCGAGAGGACTTGAACCCGGCCGCCGCGCGGCGGTGAGGAGTGGAAGTCAAGGTGCATCTGGTGGCGCCCGGCCCGGCCGTCCCCGGTGGGTGGCGGCGGGCGCGGCGCGCGCGATGGTGGGTGGGAGGCCCGCGTCTCAGCGACACGGCCTTAACCTGGGTCACGGCGCGTGCCCGGGGGGTTAAGGCCAAGGCCTCCCGTGGTGGCTGTGACACCCGCTGCCCGCAGGCAGGGCCTTAACTCGGGCGGTGCGGCCGGCGCGTCTGGTGCGTCCGGCCGACGCGAGGAGTTAAGGCCAAGGTGTCGGGGCCGAAGCGGTGGCTTCTGTCCTTCACGGACTGGGCCGGATCTGGACCGATCCCCCAGCGGGGCTCCTTATGGCCGCAACTCTCCTTCAGCTATCTGGCCACCTGCCTCAGAAGAACTCCTCGCCGGAACTGGAGGTGGCCTGCCATACTTCTTCGACGCCCAAATCTTCTACCGTGGGCAGTTTGCGCACGACGTGTATGTAGAAGGCCGGGTCCTGGGCCTGTTCCAGCGGCTGGAAGTCGCCCAGGGTGGTGATGGTGGCGCGGTGGTCGAACGCCTCCTCCAGCAGAGCGCGGAAGCTGCTCAGGCGGTGTGGGTAGTAGCTGAGCGTGAACTCGCTGCAACAGAAAATGTTAACATTTATCAACCATCATGACTTGGCCATCAGCTACAAAATCACGCCCAAGAGGTCCACGCTTTGTTTTATTTTAATCACAAGGGAATCGATTAGGTACGTAAATCATTCCACTCAAAATCGCAGTTGAAAAATTGTTAAATTCACACAGATTGCTCTACAGTCTCTAAACTTTTCAGTCCAAGCATGCTACACGAGTAGGTATGCAAAGACTTCTCTCTGCAAGTTTCACTCGCATGCAACGTGACCACTGCAATATCGTTACCTCTCCGCAGACTCCCAGTTATCTTACTTGTCCGAGGGATTGGTGGAGAAGAGCGACTTTTTCCGCCTGTCGTTGTCCTCATATTTCTGTTCTGTAGTGCTGGGATCAGACATCACGTAGTCCAGAATAATCTTCACCGGGGAGCCGTTTTGGTACACGACTGATGTTTTGATGTCGGAAACGTACTGACTCTGTAGACAGACAATGTTGATGCCCTGAGAATGCGGAATTAGACGAGGGCCGAGGGGTTTCTGGGCCATTATATAAAACACACATTACATATGCAGTATCATGCACACGACATAAAGACACGTAAGTAAACGAACTTATAAGTATATTTGTATAGTATAATATATTTGATACATGGCATGCATGTGAGTTAGAATGTGTATGGAAAAGTATGCATCTCACAATGATTCAGCGAATGATCATGCTAGTTTGCATTGCCGTCTGGATTTAAATGTTATAGGTCTCCTGCGATCTAGCACGTGTCTGCCATGAAATAAACACTACATCACTGTGTCCTTGGAGCTCACACAATGTATATATTAACATTAGAGGAGTGGCAGACACCAGACTAGGGCGTTCCGATGTTATTCTGTCATTCGGAGTCACGGGGATACGTCCATAGCTGCGTAGGGAAGTGTGTCATTGTCGTATCATTCGTTATCATCATGTTTATTCACAACTCACAATTCAACATCGTCAGCGTTAGTTTGTCCATTCGTCGTCGTGTTCTCTAACACGATGGTAATTACATCAACAGGAAAATGGTCATGCACACAAAAAAATATTAACACCGTTAGCGGTGTAATTGCACAGTACATATCTGAGCACTTGAGGAAAGTTAATTTAGTCCCTTCCCCGCTTAAATTACTCGCGCTTCTAAATGAACACCAGGAAGAAGGTAATAGAACACTGTTAGAAGGGTTGGGTGTTTTACTACATGTGGTAAAACACCCAACCCTCCTAACAGTGTGTGGATCTGGGGAAGGAGATGCGAGCGCATGAGTAGTGCCAGTAGAGCCACAGTCTATAGATGATGCTAATTTGATATTGATACCCATCACACTTTGAATACAAATGGTCAGGGCACTAAAGAGACAAATGGTCTATCTGTCCCCTTCTTGATTTATCGTAGCGGAACTTGCACGTGTACACAACACACTTATTCCAAGTCCCAATCCTACTGACAGCTGCCCGCATAGTGAAAAACATGTAGGTAAGCAGCGAGCCGCATGCTGAGATTCCCAGGGGCTCGTGTGACTTTGCAAGCTGCATGGTTAATTAACTCTTATGCCTCGTGCTTGACGGATCTTACGTTGTAGTAGATATTCCTCGTGGGGGCGCGGCCTTTGTCCAGGATGCTGTCATAGTTCCTATGGTCGATCAATAGGATTCCTCCGGGCTTCACCATGTCGGCAAAGTTCTTCAATGCGAGCCTGAAAATGAGCAAACTTTCTTTGTTAACACCGTACGGCGGTACTTTCTCGGGATGAGGCCTAACTGGCGGAAGATAATGATATGAAATTGAGGTGTAAAGTTATTCGACGTTCGGTTGCTATTCGGGGAAATTATGCGGAAAATGTAGGTCTAACCGACTTATGAATTGTAACAACTAACACGTACCTAATGAATTATGAATGTACTGTGGCTTTAGGGTCATTCGGTGGTTTCGCACGTTTGTAGGTACGTACATTCTACATTCTATTGTACATTCTATTGTACATTCTAATGATTGCGCTGTAATACTCTTCAAACACTACAACACATTTTTAGGAAAGTAATTCGCTAACTCCAAAGACCAGTTGCAACGACTAATGAACATTGTCTGTTATACATTCTTATCTGTACTTTCAAGGACTGCGCTGAAATGTGAACAGCCCGGAAACGTTCCAGAGGCTCTTTGTAGAAATGCTAGTCATCTTGACTACTGCAATCTTATCATAATATTTATACAAGCATCAGTTGCGCAGCCCCTAAGGCTGTCCGGGACTCCGGGTCAGTGGTCACTCGGCAGCGGCCACTTATCACGTGGTATGTAAACCTACGCAGTGTCTGCCACGTGGTACTCTCATACGTCAAAGAGCAAAGCTCGCTAGTCGCTATCGATAGTTGCACAATAGCACAACCATCGGTGTTTTTCCAGGACATGTGCACATGGATACAAATACAACCGCCGGCGACTAGAGGGGTCAGGTGGTGTATCCACTACTGATTAACTGGGTCGTGTGGCTACCCCACTGCGGACGACGGTATCACGTGGTGCATTAACTGCTGACTGACGGGGTCACGTGTCCTGTGACTCACCGGTGGCTGTCCTGGTTGCCGGTGAGGTCGGGCAGGTGGGCGAACGAGTTACCCAGACAGATGACCGCGTCGTACTGCCGCTCGGTGCCCAGGTCACTGGTCAGCGTCAGCCAGTTGGCCTCGTAGATGTCTGCGGAGGTGAAGAGTCATAGTGCACTGTCAGCTATGCACCCGGCCAGCACCGGAAGGACCGGACAAGGGCCGCCACAACCGCGGTGCAACAATAGTTTTTTGGAGGGGGGGGGGGTAACTGTTACCACACTTCACACTCTCAAGCCGTTAACATTTCGTAAAATTAAAGATAGATTAACCAAGCTTGATTATTTTCTCGAGCTCCTGACCACTTCTTAACCATTTCCTGGGACCACTCCCGGGGAGGCAGCTTTCCCTATAACTAGGTATTTGATTTGATAACTATTTGATTTGAGTCCTATTTGATCACTAATTAATGCAACATTTACCCCAGTTGTCGAAGGCCGGCTCCTTGCGGCGGCTCCAGCGGGTGCTCCAGGCACTCTTGAGCATTTTGTCGGAGAAATCACACGAGGTGACGCTGAACCCCTCCTCGATCAGCATCACAGAGTCGATCCTGTTCGGCACACGGGGGACGTGGTCACAATTTTGTTCGTGACTGCTCCCCATTGAAAGTAAATATCTGCATAATCAAGGACAAACAGGTAAACTCTTTTCAAGAATGCATTTTTTACACAACTACGCCAACACTGCCACTGCTGGGTCAAGAGGGGTGGGGGCATTCGCCCCCGGGAGCGCCCAAAATCGACGAAAATTTTCGGTTTTCGAGAATGAAACGAAAACTAAGCTTTCGTTTGGAAAAGTTTGATTTATGTAAACTGCACAGCAGTGCGTAAGGAATCGAAATCCGATTAGTTTCTGGAATTTAGGGAAACTTTTTTGAGGGTATGCCCCCCCCCCCCCAGCGTCCAAGACCGCCTTTCAGGATCTGGCAGTGAGCACTGCAGCCTTACCCGGTGCCGCAGGCGACATCCAGCACCGTCTCGCAGTTGTAGCTGTTGAGGATGCCCTTCAGGAACTGTTTGTAGTTCTTGGTTCTCTGGGCCTGGTCGCCGATGTAGAGGCTCCAGAGCCGAGCCGCCTTGCCGTCCGCGTACTGATCCAGCTCGAGGACCATGGTTACCGCTGCTGTGTGCGCCGCGATCCAATTAGATCCGCCAATTCCTCCGCGATGCCTCTCTGTCCCGATCCGCCGACAGCCGCTGGACCTGCTTCTCTCTGCTCACGGTTCCCGAGCTGTGCCACTGCTACCGACACGTCGCTCTCTGACTTCAGTTCGACTGTGTCTGTCATCAGCGCGGCGCAGCCTGTCCTGTGTCGAGGGCACCGGAGGGGGCGTGTGCGCGAGGCCGAGCCTGCGGCCAATCAGAGCGCGGGGTCACACGCGGCCCTCCCGTCAGTGTTTATTCTGTGATGACGATGTCATCGCTCGGGAATCGAGGACACTCGTCTCGGTTCCAATTTCGAAGGGGAGTGTCCGGTCGGCCACAGATACAACTCTGGCGTGCCTCATATCTCGCCTGGAATTAGGTGCACAGATAGTGCCGGGATGACTCACATGATCAGACGGACGGCTACTGTGTTTTTATCAAACTAAAAAGCTACCCGAATGAAACGCTTCAGGTATCATTGCATTATATGAGGCCTGGATGGGAAAGTGGAGCAGTGGGTCACATGGCGTCTCGTTACGTAACCTCACTTCGTGCCAGGTGTCAGCGGTATTTTAATATACAATATACCTACGTGGTGTTTATTTGACACTGCAAATGCTAGCAATAAATGCAAGTCATTCTTGCAACTCGCATCGAGCAATGGAACATTTCGAAACCTTAAAGCAAACTTGATTTACCAATCTCGCTATTAAAAACTGTAAGGAAGTGAACTACACAAATGATGCAAACAGTAACGACCGAAGCAGCGGAAATGGTAACTTTTCAGTGTGACTTTGAGGTAAGGTTATCGAATCATTAAATTTCAATTGGGGTTTCGAAGTCGCTCATCAATTATCACAACATTTATAGACGTCTGACCGATAAGTCGAGTTGCCTACTGCCTATAGGCTATATTAAATCTCAGAAAGTTATCAACTTCCTGCAAGTGAAATAATGAAATATACCTACTTCTGTTCATTCTCTGAAAGCCAGCAGCTGCTGAAACAGAAACTGGCCCCGCTTGCCCTTAGCCTGCCGCCCCATGACCTCTCTGATCCCGGACCTGTGCAGTGTGCTTTTGATTATTCAGTTTACATATCGGTCATGTGTGGTCCTTGTCATTCCGATACTGGCTATGTCTGGTATTACCGGTTCAATCCGCCTTCAGCAAGAACACAGTTGTATAGTGGTAAAACCCATCCCTACATGACGTCGCTGAAGTGATATGAACCAGAAGGCCTCTGTCATTGCTAGATCAATGACCTATAAACGGTGAGTGTCTGGGGCTCTTCACCAGTTGAGCCGGAGCTCATGCTATAACAGCACTCCACGCCGAGTTGAACAGCGTTCAATGGTGCACAAGACCTTTCTATCTTAACCGCTGCCCTTAAACTGAACGCTGCCACAAGCTATCTGTCAAGAAGTCGCGGAAAAATCAGACCCAGAAAAGCCGGTACAGTGGGAGTGGGTCAAAGGAAGGACGTTGGCATCAGAAGACGGAGCACCGGCAGCTATTACTGCATCTGAGGCACAATGCGGCTTCCACCGCTTTACCTCAGTTTGACATTGTCTCTGACCTGGGGTACAACTATGTCCTCAGCGGACCATGAAACTTCCCACGGCGCCTCACCTCTGGCCCAGCTGACCCGAGAGCTCTCACTGGCAATGGAGAGGGCCGTCTCCAACGCTCTGGATCACTGGCGGCCGCCGTTCCTGTCAGACTCCAGTCAACTGCAGACCAGAATAGATGCACTTGAGCGAGACCTAGCTGAGGTTAAGCTCAGCCTGCTGCAGGAACGGCAAGCAGTCCAGCCGCCGGAGTTAAGCTCGGAGCTGGAGCAGGAGTCAGCGTCGCATCAGGAGCCGGAGCCGGAGCTAACGTGTTCTAAGGCCCCTACCCCGCTGCCTGCGGACCAAGCGCCCCACCAGCGACCGGAGGTGCTCGCCTGCGCCCGCTCCTGTCTGCAGCTGCGGGACCAGGGCGGCGCACCTCAGGACGGCGTCTACTGGTTCACCGGGATGCCGGTGCCGGTCTACTGCGACTTCAGCCACGACGGCGGCGGCTGGACGCTGCTGCTGACGGCCGTCTCCAGGGCCGGCTGGGACGTCCTCAGCGTCCTGAGTCGGAACCACAGCTCGCCGTCACTCACCGAAAACTATTCCATCCTGCACTACGCTGACACCATCCGTGATCTGGGCACCGGGAGGAGGTTCGCCTACAGGATCGAGACGCAGGCGGAGAGGGGCCGCCAGCAGTGGGGCGGCGTCTGGCTCGCCCCGCGCAGCTACAGCTTCGTCCACGAGTCACCGTCGCAGACGGATGTCGCCGTCGTCAGGAAGTTCAACGGATGGAACTACCACGACAACGGCATCGAGCGGCGCATGCCGTGGGTGAACACCGCCGGTGGACAGCCTGCCGTTCTGACGACGTCCGCCTCGCCCGGTTCCAGCTGGTGGGGCACCATGGTGACGTTCCACGGCTCTGGCGGCTTCGACCACAGTCCCTGGATCCACCCAGAGTCGACGCGGTCCGGCACCGTGCTCTATTGGATCAGAGAGGAGCTACTCTGAGCTTTCACTCAATATACCCTGACTCTGAACACATGGAGGACCTCCTCTGAGCTTAGGGAGGATGCCCATGGTGATTTGTGTCCGTATGTGTGTCCACTCATTCTTGTGCGCATTGTCAGTACTCGTTGGCAATATCCTGATCGTTTTATTTATACGAGGAGTGACGAAAGTCGACAGAGAGAAAGAGAGAGAGAGAGAGAGAGAGAGAGAGAGAGAGAGAGAGAGAGAGAGAGAGAGAGAGAGAGAGAGAGAGAGAGAGAGAGAGAGAGAGAGAGAGAGAGAGAGAGAGAGAGAGAGAGAGAGAGAGAGAGAGAGAGAGAGAGAGAGAGAGAGAGAGAGAGAGAGAGAGAGAGTAATATGTAGCCACGAATTCATTGCGAGCAGTGCGTGTGCTCAATAAACAGGTCAGAGAAGCTCATAGGCGAAGTCTTTATTTGTTGGGTTATGCCGTTTCGGTATGTATGTACAGGTCCCGCGGGTTTTAGCGGTAGGTCGCTCGGCGAGCGGGAGGGCAACTAGTTCCGCCTCTGTATCGGTGACCATTTACTCCGCCCAGTTACTCGCGAGCGTGCCCTACGACACGCTCCAGGCGAGATATGAGGCACGTGAGTTGTGTCGTAAAGTGGGGAGAGGAAGGTTAGAGTGGCAGCCTGCGTAGAGGCTAGAATCGGTTTCTATTCTATCCCGCGCCGGGCCGGGGGGGGGGGTGTTTGAACACCCCCTGCGGTTTTTGGCACACCTGTTCGTGCATCTTTTCCGCACATGTTGTAAAAATTTCAGACCAAGGTCGCCTTAGGTCAGGTCACCAGGTCACGCCAAGTGACCTCACCTCAGAAAAAATAAGAATGCTCGTCATAGCTACACCGAAACACCATGCAGGCTGGACATGATTGCAAACTTTTTTAGGCTTGGTCAGTTAAAGGAAATAGTTCACTTTTAACATGGGGTTTTGAACTGGAATAGCAGTTTCGTAGCTTGAGCTGAGACTAGCACAAATCAAGAGCTTTTACGGCTCAACGATCACCCTAGACGAAGATATTCAATTTCTCGTTCCGAAAAGAGTGCCTTGCAGAGGAATGCGTGCCTTGCACAGGAATGCAGCCACGTCATCGTCAGCCAATCAGCATGCTGCTTACAGCCAATGCAGTATGCGTAGGTTTGAATTACGCGATATGATTGGTCAACGCGTAATAAGCTCCGCCTCAAACATTATTTTACATAGAATATAGTTCGTCCTATATTAAAATATAGAAAATAATTGTTTTTACAAAAAGGTTTTACTTTCATGATCATTTTGAGCATAAAAAATCATAAATCAATAGCAAAATACTAATTTCAGGAAAGTGAACTGTTTTCTTTAACTTGACCTGGTGACCTGACCTGACATGACCTGGGGTAAAAAATTTCACACATTGTCCAAAATTGATGTACAAAAAGCCATCCCAAGCAGCGCAGCGCTACGCGCCGCGGTTTTTTATTCACACGCAAAAAACGCGACAGGGTGCAATACATAACATATGCCCCCCCCGGCCCCCCCCCACTGGGGCGAAGGTTAAAACTCCATGATTATCAACGTACGCATTTATTTTGCCCATGGCATGCCATGGTGTTCGGTCAAGATTCTTATAGATATTATCTGGCTACACCGTACGGCGTACACGTATAGTCTTTATGAACAACGGGATGTGAATTGTGGGCGAAATCAGAGCGAGCTTCACACATGCGTCACCCAAGCAGCTGGGCCTGCGCGACTGGCGACGGGTCACAAAACTACTAGTTCTAGAACTGATCGGCAGGCGTCACAGCTGTTGCCAAGAATGAAGGTCCAGCGCAAGGCGTGCAAGGCTATGTAAACCGGGTAAAACGCTTCCGACAAAAAAGCGGCGATTAAATGAATTTAGTAACCGCAGCTCTGAGGAAAGGTCGCGGTTACCAAACAACCTCAGGTTGCCATGGTAAGGGAGCAAATTTGGCATGAGTACTCACTCACCTGTTAACTTATTTTTCAATGAATTACTTCAGGGAAAAGCAGATAAATAGCCGGGTGCAGTGAGTGCCTTGGGGCTGGGTGGCCTGTCCTCTGGACGGGCTCAGCCCCGGCGACTCACTAGGGTGCCTGCCCAGACCAATGTCTCCCCCTAATTCCTATCATCCTTCCAGCTCTGCAATGGTCTTGTCGACCGAAAGGGCCTAACCCAACAAAACAAAAACAAAGCAGATAAATAAATGTTTTGGACCAGTAGAAAAATGAACTGTACTTTTCATAAATGATCCAAATTTTTAAATAATACCAGCATAACGCCTTTTGGGGCGACCAACGGAGCGAGCGAGAGGGTGGGCCTCGCACGTGCGAAATCGCGAGGGGGTATCTACAACTGTCTTGTGCACGGCACCCTACTAACCGGTCTCTAGCGATGTGCCAAATTTGAGCACAATCGGCCCAGCCGTTCTCGAGATCTGGAAGCGGCACCCTGCACGTGCGCACGAGCAAAATGGGTTCCAACTGACTTTTGCACGACACCCTACTAACCGGTCCTAACCGCGTACCAAATTTGAGCGCAATTGGTCCAGCCGTTCTCGAGATCTGGAATCGACCCCTGCACGTGCGCAAGTGCAGCAGCACCCCAACTGTGGCACATGCAAATGCATTGCCTAATGGGTGCCTACATACATGCCAAGTTTTAGCGTAATCGGCCCAGAAGTTACCGAGATATTGCAATTGTTACAAAACTGACACCTCTTCGTTTTGCACGTGGCACGTGCATAAGGGGTCACCCACATGCATCGGGAATAGTCCAATACTTGGTAGAAGGAATGAAGCTACCCTACAAAAATTACCGCATGTAAATCGGTCAAGTGGTTGCTAAGAATAAGCGTCGCAAAAGCGTAACCACGGCCGGCCGCTCATACTCAGAAATTTCCATTATTCTACGTAAGACTCCGCTCGCTTCGTTCGCTGCGTAATCAAAATAAAGTCCTAAACTGAACTGAAATGTTAAATCAATCACGCACACTTCCGACTTGGGTAACACACCTGAAGTTGTTTGTTCGCTTCTCATCCATCATTGACCATTGTCGCGAAGATTGATGCTGGATTGTGGATCCCAAAACAAAGACCATCGATTATCCATTAGCGCGGCAGCTCGTTTATTGCTTAGGTACTCGGGTCAGCTTGAAGTGAAAATGGACTATTGAGGTAGCGCGGCACTGCTAGTTTCTCTGTCACTGCATATTTCATTACACACTTAAACCTTTTATCTGTACCAAGATTACGTTTTGTCAGTGTTTGTGATAAAAGAGTTCGCTGGGCTAGTATGTCGATTGACATTTCAAAATTGAGACAGCTCTGACACTATGGAGAGGAAAAAACTGATAATGCCAATAATGACTCACAAATGTCTTACCAGACTTCAGATATCAGACCAAATTTAGTCTAAAAAAACTAAATAAGACCGAAGCCTATATAGACAATAGACATTATCAAATGTCTATACTCAAATATATCCCAGACATTGGCCTATATACATATAGGTAAATGACCTATATAATATATATTGACCTATAGGTACTTATCAATTATGAATTATGATAGGTCAATGATCCGAGATAATTTCTCTCGCGGATTTTCACAAAAAAAGGCATTTGAATGGTGATCATTGGTCAACAATTATTACGACACAATTAGTAAAACAGTTATCCACTAGGTAACACAAGCCACCAAAGATTAAATGTTCCTCACCTTTAAACAGGTGGACATACATCTTAAAGTTCCGGAGTTATGTTTATGTAGTGAAGTTTATCTATGTCTGGTGAGGCACAGCGTGGAAAATTTCGTCGTCCCCTGTTCATATGTTAATTAACACTCCAAGATGTCTAACGCGTCACTCGTCACACGCCGTAACGCGTCATTCGGCGGCAGCCGCATTCTTGAATTCAGGACGCCATCTCGCCTGTATCAGCTGCATCACAGGGGCTGCAAAACCATGCCACCAGCCGCGGAATCTGACCACCGACCGATCTGGCCTGTGTGGCTGTGTATTTGAGGGGAGGACCCGTCTCCCGGGTTCCCCGATCTGGATCCGCCGCTGGCCGCTGTCACTGCCAGACGCCCTCAAAGTCGGGGGATCTGTCCCGACCAGACGACACTGTCGCACGGGTCCTGGCCTCCAGCGGTCCTCTCCGCAATCTGTAGACACCCGCACTGTCGGAGCGCAGCCACCAGTCGCGGGACTATCTGAAGGTCAGTCACAAGGCAGTATTGCTGTCTGTAACCAGGCCAAATTCACTTGCCGGGGATAAATGAGCAAAATACGTAATCAGGAACAAATCGCAATGCTACGTGCAATAGAAAATCCGTTTATAATGCGATTTTACTCGTACTCTTTATTGAGTCATGCACTCGTATCCCCTGCAATTTCATTGGCTATCATGTATTATAGGCATGTATGTACAATGTACATGCTGAAGATCACTTCCTGGTCGCGGGTGATATCAGCTCATGTCAGTCATGTGCATTTCTATGAACGTCAAACAATCACGAATGCTTGAATTTGAACATAATTAACTTGAAATTAAAAAGGGCATCTGTGCAGCCGCCGCAATGAGCTTCGAGGCCTAGAGATGTAGTTAATATAGTATGGTATAGTGTAATGCGTACATATTTAGAAACGTATAGGTAACCGTATAGGTAACGTATATATAGGTATTAGGGTGGTCCTTATTTTCGAAAATCGTATTTGGATATCTTGCGCCCCTTCAATCGGTGCCGTTTAACGAAAAAACATGTCTGTCAAAATTTCAGATCCCTACTTCATTATTTACTGGTAGCTCAACACTCGTTCGTTCGTCCATGTTGGCTCAATGTCCGTTTCGTCGATCAATGTTCGTTCCCTCTTCCTCAGGTGTAACGATTGTCACGCAAACTTCTGGGTAAATGGTGTCCCCCAGTGATGAACCCCTTGGCTCCAAGTTCCCAGTAGCGGCGGAACACCTTCAATTAGGGGGGGGGGGGGGGCACTGCCGACTTTTGGTCCCATTCTTTCTCTGCAACGCCCATAGCGCTTATGTTAAAATGATAAAATTAAAGGGGGTACGGTGCTCCGGTGAACCCCCCCCCTCCCCCCACCGCCTATGCAATCTCCCATCCCGCGGCCAATCTCTCGCCTACTTCCTCCACCGCCACCACATCCTCTAGGAAACGGTCCGGGAAGCGGCCAACCGGACGTTAGAGAAAGTAGAGGAGTTCTGGGCCAGGGCTAGGATTCCCACTCAGCACAAGGGGTGAGCGTTCAAAATAGCGCCTTCCTTCTCGCCCAACGTGAGCCAGAGAGACGGGATAGAATGACAGAGGCAGGCATGGCGCTCCATTCCCAAGAAAAGAGGAAGAGGAGGAGGGATGACGCCGAAGAGAGGAGGAGGAGCAAGGCGTCGGAGTAGGCGCGGGCGGCAGCCGACCAAGTGGAGCTGGAAAGCATAACCTCGAGTAGCTCCGAATCGTCACCACTTCGCGGAGCCGTGAGACCTGGCCCCAGCATGGGTACAGGCACTCTGTCATCCCGAAAGCGTGGTCGAACCACGGTCATCACGCCGCAACTTTCCGCTTACGTCTAACGTCTGACGTGTGTGTGTGTGTGGGTGGGGAGGGGGGTCGGTTGGACCCCTCTGCCGTTTGGCTCCAGATCGCGCTAGAGCTTTGCGCAAAAAAAAAAACGAGCGTGTTGCCCGTGACGAGCGGAAGCCGATGATATCCAATTTAAGGTCCTAGGTCATTGGTTGACCTTCCCGGTCAGGTCAATGACCCAATGGTCAGGAAAATCGGGACCTACAAGAGCTTCGTACAGCGAAGCTATCATGTTTTTTTGGGGTGCTGATCACGAATTTCATGCTAGTTTTGATCACATATGATGTCTTCATGCATTTAGACCAGGTCGGGTCAGGTCAGGTCAGGTCAACCATTACGCGTCCTGCCGGCTACCCATAGTAGGTCTCAACTACCACTGATCGCGTCGTAACACGTTACAAAGGCACTAAAACTACTTCGTAAATGTTCAAATGGATGCTAAATTCGAAATCAGTCCGAAAAACTGCCCTAGAAACATGTATAACTCGGAAAAGTGACACGAGGTCATCATAGGTCAATGACCTGACCTGACGTTCAGGTGACCTTGACACCCACCGTAATGCATGGGACGAACATCATTTCACATGTTTGGACGTTTATAATCGCAAAAAGACTAGAAACGCGCGGATAATGAGAGCTGACATACGCTGAATCGCGACTCCGGCCAAACATGGTCTCGAAAGATAGGTCACAGGTCAAAGGTCATTTGGGTCAGGGTCATGAAATTTTCAGAGTAAGTATAAAATTAATCAACTCGAGGGCACTGAAAGTTTCGTCGTGATCGGCCGCTTTTCCGTGAGTTATTCGCGAAAACCCATGGGGGTCCATCCGACCCCCTACACATACGAGGGTTAATATGCATTGAGCCACCAAAAAGCATCCGCCGATTTCGCTCTTTTTGCTCTTTTTCCACGTTTCTAGACAAATGGCATCATTTCAGGGGGCGCAAACGCGAAAAAATACAAATTAAAATTTTGTATGGAAATAAGGACCACCCTAATAGGTATATAGGTATAGGTAACCGTATAGGTAACGTATAGGTAACAGTATAGTAAACCTACTAATACTGTTCCCTATTCCTATCCTATGCTTAGTCCGTAGCCCGTAGGACAATCCAACGTGTAGTGTGATAGTGCGGCCCGGTTGACATGTCATCCATTGGTGGCATTAATCGCTTACGCATTACGCAGTCTCCATGGACCCGAGAAAACTACGTCGAGAGGCTGGATTCGATGAATGCAGATGAGAAGGCGGTGTACTGCGTTGAGTGCGTCCTCTCACTGCATTCATATAGGAACGTAACGTTCCTATTCCGCAGCTGCAGACGAATAGTACGGCCTCGAGCGTGTAATTCACTGTAATAGGTAGTTAAGATCAATGTCAGCTGCACAAACTACATATTACGGTGATGGATTTGCGTGTTTGCAAAGTGCTCCATCCAGCTGAGGTCGGTGGTCATGTATCCTGAGTCGGTTTTCAGTGGCAGATCATCGCTGGCAGGCCCATGTCGTCCCCTATCTCCCTGTGTGTCCAAGTGCACAGATGACGTCACACGAAGGTTTAGAGAAACCTAGGATCTAGGTTTACCTAGTTGACCTAGGATCGGTTTAGTGAAAAACGCTTCTTAGATAATTTGAAGAAAAATGTCTCGGCTTTCCGATGATGCACTTAGTTTTGTGCTAGCTTAAGCAGAGTTTGTTCTACAGCGCTTCAAAAATCGCCCATTTGCATAGGACTTAAACGGGACTTCAAGACTTGCCCCCAGATGACGTCATGAGCTGACGTCACGATCAGGTAGAATCGCCGGACGACCCTACCTGGTATATAGGGCCTTGAGTCCATGTGGATGTCGCTTATCAGTATTGGACGATATCCTTCATTGAGATAAGCGGCAAGCCTCGAGATTTTCAAAGAACCGTTTAACCCTGACGCTATTGAAGCCGCGGCCCGGCTTTTGCTGACATTCTCGAGTGTCTTCAAGGTCAGATTGTGTTTCCTGCGAGATTCCGTTACCTAATAGCTTCCAACCAATACCGTTCTTTTCGTTAATCTTGCAGCTGCTGCCGCCGCCGATTCTGTCCCCACTGTGCGCCATGGAGGGCGGCTCCATCGAGGTGTTCACGGTGAACGCGTTCACGGCGGAGCCGTTCGCCGGCAACCCGGCGTCCGTCTGCCTGCTGGAGGACCCGTCGCCGCCGGACGTCCTCCTGCAGGGGATCGCCGCCCAGATGAACCACTCGGAGACGGCGTTTGTGACGCGCCTCTCCGAGGGAGACCAGTTTGACACGGCCGACACGTTCCGCCTGCGCTGGTTCACGCCCACCACCGAGGTGAAGCTCTGTGGACACGGCACCATGGCGGCCGCCGCCGTCCTCTTCAAGGTACAGTTCTTTGACCGGGACCGGAACGTCCTCCAGTAGTGACCTATGATCCTTGAGGGAAGGGGAGTGGATTGATGGAGGCGTGAAATCACTTGACTATGTTTTATTTCGTTTTAGCGAATGCCGATTGTAGAGTGCTACGAATGGCCGTCCAATTTGCCCCAACCTTCATCACGAGAGAGTGTAAAAGACCCCTGAATTATTTTTAGTCTTTTCGAGCCCAAAGAAGTCCAGAAATAACAGTCATGAGGTAAACAAAATGCCTTCTAGTCACATGCACCCAAATTGTGGGGACTGCCAGAAGCCCCGTCCCAGTTGGTTGGTTACACCTATCGCCTGGTCTCGGTGCAGTGATAATATATCGGCGGTATAACTGTCCTCAGGTGGTGGGTAACAAGCAGCCGCAGCTGACGTTCGTCACGCGCTGGGAGCTGCGGCTGACGGCCGTCAGGGACGAGGACAGGATAGAGCTGGAGCTGCCGCTGAACGCGCCGCAGCCGGTGCCGGCCGAGCGGTTCGCGCAGCTGGCCGCTGCTGTCTGCGGGCAGCTGCCCGTGGCCGAGAGCCAGCTGTCGGAGGAGACCGGGAAGCTGCTGCTGAGACTGGAGGACAGCTGCACCGTCCGGCAGCTGGAGGAGCTCAAGGTGAGAAGAAAGAAAGGGAGAGGAGGGAGAGACAGAGACAGAGAGACAGATAGATACAGAGACAGAGAGAAAAGGGGATACAGAGACGTCTTCATGCCCCGGTGTGGTATGAAGACGTGCTGCACAGAGAAATGTTCAGAGATGGTAAATTGTTGTCACAAGGCGTACAGGTCTCGCGAAATTAAGCGGTAGGTTTTGCACTTTTACATTTCCGGTTATATCTCAGAAACTAATCGATCTGCGATGAAGCCATTTTACACGATCATGGCCGGCTTGTTACCCAACAAGTCGATCGCATCTTCAACACTTAAAAGCTTAAGACGACGAAGATATAGCCTGAAGTACACTAAATTTTCTAGGTGCAAAACCTACCGCTAAAACCCGCGAGACCTGTACATTCCAGTGCTTAGGGCGGCAGCTGCTGGATGCTGCAAAACCGCCAACTGGGATGGTCAAGGTTGTTTTATTTAGCTATCCGATGCCAAATATCGTTGATATGACTATAGAGGGTAGAAAGGCTTACATAGGTAGGTGTGTGCGAATAAGATTAAAGACGTAAGCTGGGCTGGTATGTGCATTATGTGGTGCGAACTGTGGATGGTAATGCATAGGTAGTGTAGAGCGGATGCCAGCAGGTCTTGCCTCACATTCCTTAGTGTCAAATGCGTTCACACTTTGAATATATATGTTTTTGGAAAACTGCACCAATTTATCGGTTATGTTTATCAAATAATGTATCTTATTTCCTCAGGAATGAATGCTTGCAGGGTCGCGATGTGTCATTTAGCGCCCGCGGCTTGAGCAATGTGCATACCATGGCCTGTTGCGCAAAACGAAATGTTGCAATTGCAGCATTCCATTCATGCTTAACGCTATGGACGTTCTGAATGCCCGCGATAACACCTGATTTGTTTGAATTTTGGATGGACTGTGCCCGTCAGGCCCTACCGTTACCAAGGCAGCACGATTGCGGAAGGAATGCAATGATTGCCACTTGCCAGGCTTACAGGGAGTGACCTAGTTACATGTACACTGAGAAAAAAATTTACCACCCTATGGAAACCAACCCTTTTATTCAGGATAAGACTCATATCATACTCAGGTAAACTAACGTATTTACCAACGATGCCTTAGTTCGTTCGTAGCTCATAACGTCATCGTCGCCGCATTTATGCTTAAACCTCAAGTCCAATTAAACAACAAGGCATGAGCATTCAAAAACAGGTCGATTAGTTGCATGCAAGTTGTTTATTTCTATTTATTTATTTGTTTATTTATTTATTTATTTATTTATTTATTTATTTATCTATTTATGTATTTATTAATGTAACTATTTATTTATTTATTTTTATTGCTTATGATCTGTTCTCCTCAGCCGGAGGTGGGCCAGCTGCCGCGGCTCCACGACGGCAGCGAGGTACGCGGCGTCATCGTCACGCTGAAGGACGGCGGCAAGTTCGACTTCCAGAGCCGCTACTTCGCGCCGTGGGTTGGCATCCCCGAGGACCCGGTGACGGGGTCGGCACACACGGTGCTGGCGCCGTACTGGGCGCGTCAGCTCGACTCAGAGCGACTGTGGGCGCGCCAGTGCTCGGCCAGGGCCGGCCAGCTGGGCCTGGCCGTCGACTGGGACCGCCAGCGGGTCCTCGTCTACGGAGAGGCCGTCGTCGTCCTCCAGGGAAAGCTGAGGATCCCCTAGCGTGGTGAATGTGATGACGGAAAGCTGGGCGGTGCTAAATATATGTGGGGAATTTCCTGGGGTTTCGCACTAAATATGCAGGTGCCTAGTGCATAGATATTGGATGTCAATTAGATAAGTAAAAGAAATTGAGCTTTTCCTCGACATTACAGATGCAAAAAGCCTTGGTATGCGCATGTAGAACCGCCGGTATAGTCGACTACAGAATGATGTTCCACTTTTCACAGGCAATTATTTGCCTGGAGTGGTAAGCTGCGCCGCATCACACGGGCTGAGTTCACAAATTATAGCTTTGTCCCAATGTTCACAATCGACACGCTTAATTGCGTGATGAACGGCACAACTTAACGCTCCGGTCAACTGATAGCTTCTGAGGAGTGGAACATCATTCTGTAGTCGACTACATACACAGCGCGAAATAAACCCTGTCCTGCGCGTTATGCACGAGCTGGTCTCTGTTATCTGTCTCTGTCTATCCGTCGTTTAAACCCCGTTCACCTTACTCCGTGCGGTGTCACTGTTGGCTCTCACGCTCTACCGACAAAAATAGTGAACTGGTGCGCCACTGATATTTTGCCTGCTGCTATTTTTGAGTGTCGTTTTATTTGTCAAATGTTCAACCATGTCGAAAGAACATTCAATAAAACTGCTGTGAGTGCTGAGGAGCGTGCCGCCCTATTTACCATTCGCGTTGAACCAAAAGCATTTGCATACTGATATTAACCCGCGCACCGACGGGGGGGGGGGTGGATATCCGCCCCCTGAGGTTTTTCGCGAATAGCGGGAAAACCGCGGCGCGTAGCGCCGCGAAATTTGGTATGACTATTCCCTTATCAATTTTACACATGGTGTGCAAGTTTGAACCTCCTACCTTTCAAGGTCAGGTCACCAGGTGACTTTGAATGACCCAACCTCAAGTCACTTTTTTGCAACTTTGTCACCGTGCCAGAGCTACAGTAGATGTCGGAGGCCTTTGAAAGTCGCAGGATGTTATTAGGTCATTAGTAGCTACAATTTGTATATCTCGGAATTTTGATATCGGTGACCTAAGGTCAGGTCAATTTCGCGACCTCCCCATTATAAGTCAATGGGGGAAAAATCAACTCCCTGTTTTTACCACTAAAACGGGTCGGAATGGCCCCATATACCATACATGACTTCATATACGATCAACCTTCACTACCTTGAGGTCTGTTTTGCTGTTGGGCAGCTGTGAGGTCATGTGACGTCATCAAAGGTCACCAAAGGTTTTTGGCCAATAACTCCGTACAGGAACAAGATACAGACGCGTGGATGGTCTCATTGTGTTCAGCTCGTCAAAACGCATCGAATGCTATACATGATGACCTCGAGGTCACGTGACCTGAGGTCAACCTTTGACCTTGACCTTTCGAGGTCAACATATATATCATTCGATGCGGATTGACGAGAGGATCACGATGATGCCCTTAGTTTGTTCCTATCTTGACTAATTCGAAAGTTATTCGAGAAAAACTCTCCATATTTAGCGCCGCCATTTTGACTTTTTCGACCCCTGTGACGTCATCTTTGACCTGACCTGAAAATGACCTTAGTAAAAATTGTAGATCTTGACCGTGCGTATCCGATGCCGTTTACCGCTTGTCGCTATCTTGCTTCGTTCTCGAGATCTCAGGGGGGGGGCGGTCATCCGCCCCCCCCGTCGGTACTAAGTTTTAGCATATGCCGAAGTATGCCTTTAGCATTAGCGCGAGCGTGCGGTAAAAGCTTTTTGGATTAAACCGCATAATGTTGAAGGCAATGGGGTTGGGAACTCGATTTTTTAAGAATGCATGAAAATGATCAAACTATTTTCACAGAATTTATGGTGCATACCATTGCCTCATAAAATCAATAAGCTGAGAGAAATGGGGGAAGAAAGATAGGAAACTTGTTTTGAAAAGTTCTTGAAAAAAGATGCTCTTGATGCTGTTACGTCACATGTCACCTTCTGCGGTTGACAAATAATGGCGCATCTGGCGCACCACAGATTACATGTTATATCAATGGGTGAAAGATGTTGTTTGCTTCACTCTGCCATTCGCGCTGTTTTTAACTTTAAATTATGTTAAAACATTTACGGATGAAATGTTCAGTGTCAAAAATTGATGTGTCTGCCGTGTACTATATTCCCACTTAACATGAGCGCGTGATAAACATTTTATGTACCTCGAATTTTCAAATGATAAAGATGATGAATCGGAGGATGCTGAAAAGCAAAAGCTCATTCTAATATTTGGACTACTTTACGATTAAAATGTTTACATTCCTGTCATCTTATTGATCATTTATTTGTTCTTTTTTATGAAAATAACTTAAGGCGTTGAGAACCGAGGTAATTTCTATCTACCGTGCCTTAACTTACCAGCAACAGCAATCTATCTACGCCCTACGGTGGCAAGGGAGACTGTGAAAGAAGCGTAAGATGGATTCTAAACAATTCTTTTGTGATATACTGAAGGGCAAAGTGCAGAGAAGAGCGTACAAGTCCTGTTTTGTGCCAGGCTGTTGCAGTAGCACTTATGAAACTCCGAAAACGATCTTCGTTCATGTCCCGAACAACATTACCCTGAGGAGATGATCGTCTGCAATAGCAGGAAGAGCTGATGCAAGTACTTTGAAATCCACTATCAAGTCGGTGCTATTGTTGTAATGATCACTGTGAGGTGAGATATTTTGTGCAAGGGCTGAGTGTAATGCCCAGGAAATGACCTCCATTCGCCCCCTGACCGGTCAGGTTTATAAAATTTGAGTGGATGGCGGTCCGTTTGGGGTTCAGATGTCAATTGTATTTTGTTACTGTCAAACAATACATGTTATGCTGGCAGCGAATGTGTGTAACGTCGTTTTTCGAAACAGAAGTTAGAACTGTAACGGCAGAGTGCTTGCTGGTCTCATCGTAAGTATTGTAAGTGTTGTAAGCAAAAGCATTGTCAATATTGTAAGTATTGTGAGCATTGATGTATGGTAGATATCACCTCACATGATCTCGGCTCAGATAACCCTCTCCGGTGTCCCTGTCAGTAAATGGCACCTGGATCATTACAGATAAGATAATTTATCATAATTCTTAAAGAATTGGGTGGTTTTGACTCGTTTACTCGAGGTGCAGGTCGCATTTCAATACTTTTCCATAGGCTTGCAATGTAAAGGTCACGACTCTGACCTAACCTCAGGTCACAGATCAAAAATTCTGAGATATACAAACGACACATACTGCAGGTACTGTTTTGAAGACTTGATGAGAGGAAATAACTTCGTGAAAAACTCAAGCTCTGACGTGTTTGCAAACTTTTCTGAGGTGGGGTCAACAAACCCGCTCTGGTCACCTGACCTGACCTGACCCGGCATTTTTTTTTTTTGCTGAGATGTGCGCAATGAGCATTTAGGAAAAGTCACCAAATATGAGCTGAATGTCTCGCGGCGTTTGGCAATTGTACAAGGAAATCCTGAAAGGTCTCCCCGTCCGAAATAGGGTTAATGTGTATATGAAGAGTTGCATTGCAGATGCCAAACATACCCAGATCTAAGACTGCAGTTCCCAGCGCCGCTGCAACGTTTTTAAAACAAACATACATTGGACATACAAACATGTTTATTTGCATCTGTTTTGGATAATAGCAACTCATGGCGCCATCACCCGCGATAACTGTTAGGATTTGAGATATATTTTTATTTAGGCCATTAGTTTGGCTGTAATGTTTATTAATATTAGTTGGGCGGAGTTTGGTAGTTTTTTATTTAACTTGTGGTATGTTGTGCTGATTGCGGGTTGTTCAAACCTTTCAAATGTAAGGACCTTATTGAACTCAACCCTACCCCTACACTACCCTACATACGACTGGACGCTTTCCAAGCCCACAAGCATCACGACGCCGAGATGGAATGTAGCCGAGAAATCACCCTCGCCATCTGCTCTAGAGCTAATCGTGTGGGGCGGCGTGTGGGGCGCCTCTTAGCCTATGGGGGTGCACTTCTAGTGGATGGGGGACGGGGGTGCACCTGCACCCCTTTCATATGGAAAGTTACTTCCCTGATTACAGCTCCCCGTATTGCACCTAATCAGGGAACGGCCAGCAAACGAAGGAACTATTTCTGGATGACAGGCGAATAACCGCTCACGCAAGGAGCGGAGCTCCGCCCCGTCCAAAGTGGCCAACAAAGCAGAGACAGAGACAGCATCACATCTTCCATCAAAGAACTGGTTTCTGGCTTGGAAGATGAGCTCCATCTTTGCATCCGAGTCGGTGCTGTCAGGAATCAGCTGGTCTAATGGAGTGAGAGTAGTGAGACGACTAGCTATTGTATCAGAGCTGCCTGGTCTTCGTAGCATTTGCACCGATTCTTCTCGATCGGACTCTGAATTCTGTCCCTCCTGCGTATTACTTGAGGCATTGCTATGTAGCTAAGTCTTTGGCAGAGTTTCATTATCCATGCTTTGCAAACAGTGCCATAACAACACAGTTAATTAATCACCAAGCTTCTTTGCAAGTTCCAATACAGTTGAATCGCACGCGATTTGAGTGCAAAAATCAAGAAAAGTGCCAACTTGTTCCCGTAAAATATTTTGAATATTGACCTAAAAAAATGAGTAATTTCCAGATAAAATAACAGCGAAATCAGTTTTCGCTTGCCAATAAAACTCACAGATATTGAAGCTCCATTATTAAAGGAACATTTTAGTATATGCCATTCTTGATAAAACTTCTTAGCCACGCAATACCAGCGCAAAATAAAGAGACACTGAAAACACGACCAATCACTCCGATTTACCATAGGAAAATACATAGAAAATGTATGTCTCAACTGCGCCAAATATACAGACAGTTATATACCTACATGTGACGTCATGATTAGCCCGACCAATCAGAAGCAAGTCGTTTTCAGCCACAAATAATTAATTTCTGAACTAACTAGGCATTTTTTTAACAAAGTGATTTTAAATTAAATCATTAAAAATTCTGAGCTTTTTTATTTTACCAAAACATACAGAGCATGCAGATAGGTCCCAACCCTATTGAGCAAAGGTTTCGGCCCATGGGCAAAACATTTTATCAGCGAACTTTTGAAGCATTTCCTGAGACGGAGGAAGGCGCTGGAAAAGAGCTTAACTGATAGAAACCTAACGTGAACTTACGTGTTGCATTTGGTCGCTTTGAACTATTGATTGTAAATGTTGGTTTTCAATAAGATAATATTTTAAATCCTAATGTAGGTACAGACATATTAATTAATCACCTACATTCATGGCGTCAATTTCATGCCTTTTACAACTGCAATGAATCGACAAAAAACGCATTTCAGATTGATCAGTAAAAACTTTATTCATACTGACATGGGTAAAAAACCAAGCGCTCACTTTACAGGATGGTATACCTTCCACTCTTCTCTAATATTGAAAACGAACGTTACTCTGGCTTTTCATATGGCATAGATTGAAGTAGATGTTCTTGGTTTGATATGAATCCAACTCAGAGCCAGACACAAGGATGGAACACAGTGATCTTGAGTCGGCTTGGTTTATTTTCTTGGTCAGGGACTATGTACATTTTTTAGTTCTTGATATTCGGTCTTGGTTTTTCCACGTCTTTCAAGCATGTAAAATTGTTAAAGAAGCTTAAATATGGAAATAAAACGGCATATGC